TTTTTTTTTTCTCTTAAGAAAGAGGAGGGCACTGTCAAAAGTATCAGGCAAATGTGTAAATATTTAAATATTTGGGGTTTTCATTCTTAAAATCTGATGGAAGACAATATGATAGCAAGGTAAATTGGGGCATGGCTGTCCAGGCCAGCCTTAAAGCCTCATTGAATGCTACCACCTGGTTCTCAATGGGGCTAAATAGTCACCATTGGAGACACCTGCTGTGGTATGAGTGTTACCAGTGATCGGGATCACCAAGTGATTTTTGTTTGGTTTTTTTTGCCTGATCTTAAAATACTGCATGCCTCCAGCTAATGTGCTTTATAACAAGAAAAATAAGAGAACCTGAAAATATCAGGCAACATAGTTCAAGAAGGAAAACTGAAAGTTGATTGCAACTTGTGTATCACTGTCTTTCTCAACAGAGGCAGCTGTGTCAATAGTACCTTCATTGTTTTACTAGACCCATAAAAGACTTGGCACTGGCAGAGCTGTGAAGACTCTACACAGAGTCCATGTCATGATTCACAGCATGGGAGTTAAATGTTAATACTTATTAAAATGTTTATATATTAAAATAACCTGCCAGTTTTATCTGCTTTTGTGGGTTTGTAAGTAAGCATTTTAATTGCATTTTCCGTTAGGGGCTCCTGAACATCCGCATCAATTGATTGCGCAGATACATTGGGCGATGGGTTCTTGAACTTCAAAGAGTATTTTGTTAGACTGATTTGTTACATTTTCCCTTTAGTTTTCCTCTAACACCAAAAAGGTTTTCTTCTGCTTTTTCTAAATAGAAAAGCAGCAGACCCCGACTGATTCCTGTTACAGATTTAGTAGTCTGCATGATGTGACAAGTGCATTCACCTGTACTTCAAGGTGTATCATGGCTTTCTCAGCTGTGATCTTTCGTGTTTGTAGTCAGTGTGACTCGTGCTGACTCCTCACTGGGCCTGAATATCACTTCTGAGCAGACTGATGTGTAATTCGTTGTATGTCAGCTCTTAATCTTCTGGATGAGCTTTAGTCCACATAGTCAAGGGGAGAAGAGGTGTAGTAACAGATAAAATGGTCAAAAAAACTGCAGACAAGGTAGGTTGCTAATTGTTTTGCTTTGGGGCTGTATAAAAAAGGAAACTATAGCTCAGAATTGTTTCTTCCTTGACAAATTCCTAACAATTTGTGCTAAAACAGCAGCATGTGTGCATTTCATCTGAACGGACTGAAACTAGTTTTTCCTCCTGCCCCCGTAGATGCAGAGGGAAGGAAGCTTCTCTTTTTCACCTTGGCCTACTCAGCTGCAGCAGGAGGTGAACATGACCTGTGTCCTTTTCTCTTTTTTTAATAGGTCTATCATCAGCATGTAGCATTGTGTAGAATTGAAGGCATACAGAGTCCGACAATATCAGAAATTATGGCAATTTGTTCAAGACTTGGCGCCTGCAGGCTCTTGCTGGTGGAGTCCAGTAACAAGTATCTTCACATGCGGGTGCGACTAAATATCAGCCAGGACGATGTCATGTACGCACTCAAGGACGAATAAGGCAATGGAGATTTTATTTTTTTAATATGTATAAATATTTTAAATATTGTCTATTTTTAAATGGTTTTTTAAGTTGTTGATGAAATGGAAATAGTGAAATGTATTTTTTTCCAAATACTTTGCTTAAATGTTTGTATTAAAGCACTTTTTGTATAATAAAGAATTTGCTTCAAAGCATTTTAAATATTTGAATTCAAACTATTTATTTTTAAAATATTGTTGTGCTGGTAACTCGTCCCCTTCCAGATGAGGTGTCTGAACTTGGAATTGATTACTGGCATCACTGCTAATGCCTGAGGAGCTTTCGATGGTAAGACCAGCAGTGTCTTTGTGGCAGTGCAGTTGATGTGGCTTTTCCTCATTGACTTCTGTTGAGTATAAAAGGATTTATAAAATGTGCTTAAATCTACATTACCGATACAATGTAAAGGAACTTTCAGTTTGCAGTCAAGGCTGAATATTTGAATTTAGGAGAGTGTTTGCTGCCAGGGAAGTAAAAATACCGGATGATACTTGTCATTCAAGTAAGCAACTCTTTTTAACAGGCCTGCATTACCTGAGGCGAGTTCTTTGAAGCAATCCTTGATATCAATCAATCAAAAAAAATCTGCTGTGGCGATCAAACTGTTTACCAAAATGCATGAGTCAGTGGGAGAGGGAGAGTTTGAAAACGCGTTTTAAAATTGTGTTGCTGTGGACCAGCCTCCAAAAATTCCTCCTGTTGAGGGGGATCTGGGGCTGCTTCCATTTTTTCATTTACTAAGCTCCAGCTCTCGGAAAAGCGACTTCTCAGGGTTCGGATTTCCCAGACTGCGTTTGCAGGGTTCTCTCCAGCCACCCGAGTAGGAGCCCTGTAACACGGCTGCGGACTGAAAACTGTAAAAATGGCTGTACCTGGAGCTGACAATTAACGCCAGGGGGACCC